TTTGCCCTACATTAACCTGGGACATGATATTGGGCGTGGATTTTATGTTAAAACACCAAGTTTCTATATTTATGGATGGGGCAGAAGCGAAAATCGGCGAGGCTACGGTACACCTACACCAGTATGCAGGGGCAACTAAGCCTGTAGCTCACATTGGAATTTCAGAGCTGGCACGTCAGGTAGAAAGCAACCAAATGATACAGGAAATTGATCATCATGCAACCGTGGCTGTGCTCCGACAGTTTAGTTCTGTGTTCGAGGAAAGCAGTTCTGGAAATCGTACGAATACAGTACAACACTCTATTTTCACAGGGGACCATATGCCCATCCGACAGCCGCCTCGAATAGTACCCGTACACTACCGACCACAACTAGAGTCGATGATAAAGGATATGTTAGACAAAAAGATTATAGTCCCTTCATCATCTCCCTGGGCGTCACCTATTGTTCTTGTGAAGAAGAAAGACTCCTCGCTCCGACTCTGTGTAGACTACCGACGCCTTAATGACATAACTAAACGGGATTCTTTTCCACTTCCGCGCATTGGTGCTACACTGGACGCCTTAAACGGTGCTCGTTGGTTCTCCACCTTAGATCTAGCATCTGACTACTGGCAAGTGGAAGTTCGACCGCAGGAGACGAAGAAAACTGCATTCATAGTACCGAATGGTTTGTATGAGTTCCAGGTAATGCATTTCGGGTTAAGGAATGCTCCGGCTACTTTTCAAAGACTGATGCAAACAGTATTAAAAGATATAGTGATCCACAAATGGTTGGTTTACCTCGATGACATTGTTGTATACGGCAGCACACCCGAACAACACAATGCTAACCTCAAAGCTGTTCTGCAGCGTCCTAGACAACATGCCCTAAAAGTAAAACCATCCAAATACCGTCTGTTGCAGAAGGAAGTAGTATTCTAAGAATATCGTATCACAGCACATGGAGTGGGTATAGTCAATCTGTGCAAGGTGCTGCCAAAGATGGAAAGTCACAAACAAAACGTCTGTAATATTATGTGAGACACAGAAAACTGCGAACGCCTTCATGTGTTTTTGGTTGCGGCTAATTAACAATAACTCGCGTCTTTTCATTATCTGTACCCACTACCTTCCTTTTGGATGGTTTTACTTTTAGGGCATGTTGTCTAGGACGCTGCAGAACAGCTTTGAGGTTAGCATTGTGTTGTTCGGGTGTGCTGCCGTATACAACAATGTCATCGAGGTAAACCAACCATTTGTGGATCACTATATCTTTTAATACTGTTTGCATCAGTCTTTGAAAAGTAGCCGGAGCATTCCTTAACCCGAAATGCATTACCTGGAACTCATACAAACCATTCGGTACTATGAATGCAGTTTTCTTCGTCTCCTGCGGTCGAACTTCCACTTGCCAGTAGTCAGATGCTAGATCTAAGGTGGAGAACCAACAAGCACCGTTTAAGGCGTCCAGTGTAGCATCAATGCGCGGAAGTGGAAAAGAATCCCGTTTAGTTATGCCATTAAGGCGTCGGTAGTCTACACAGAGTCGGAGCGAGGAGTCTTTCTTCTTCACGAGAACAATAGGTGACGCCCAGGGGGATGATGAAGGGACTATGAACTTTCTGTCTAACATATCCTTTATCATCGACCCTAGTTGTGGTCGGTAGTGTACGGGTACTCTGCGAGGCGGCTGTCGGATGGGCATATGGTCCCCTGTGAAAATAGAGTGTTGCACTGTATTCGTACGATTTCCAGAACTGCTTTCCTCGAACACAGAACTAAACTGTCGGAGCACAGCCACGGTTGCATGATGATCAATTTCCTGTATCATTTGGTTGCTTTCTACCTGACGTGCCAGCTCTGAAATTCCAATGTGAGCTACAGGCTTAGTTGCCCCTGCATACTGGTGTAGGTGTACCGTAGCCTCGCCGATTTTCGCTTCTGCCCCATCCATAAATATAGAAACTTGGTGTTTTAACATAAAATCCACGCCCAATATCATGTCCCAGGTTAATGTAGGGCAAACTAAAACCTCATGACGAACCGAACACTTCTCTACTGTTAAGTCTAATTCTGTCTTATAACACACTTTAAGGGGGTCCCCACTAGCTGTTATTAATGCTGAGGAGCATCGTTTTTGCTGGACTTTATGGTGCAGTCTCTTTAGGAACGCTTCCTTAATGAGGGATGCGGAAGCTCCAGTGTCTAGCAGTATGTCAATCACCACACCTTGCACTCTAACATTGAGGGTGATGGGGCTGATATGATTAACATGGCAGGAAGATAAACAGTAAACGTATGGCTCACCTGGATTACGAGGTCGGTTATGTCCACATTTCCAAGCGTTCCTGCCAAACCGCCTGCAATACATACATCCCGTTTGACGACTGTGGTAATTGTTATACGGTGGTCGTTTGTTCCAAGTCGAGTTTGATGCCTCAGCTATCGGAGCTCGAGATGGCCAGGAGAGGGTCATTGCGTACGCCAGCCGACGACTAGACAAGAGCGAAGCACGGTATTCCACAACACGTCGAGAAATGCCAGCATTAGTAAAACTCTTACGGCACTTCCGTCATTATCTACTTGATAGACCTTTTCGTGTGCGCACGGGTCGCCGTGCATTACAGTGGCTTCGTTCTTTTCGTGAACCAGAAGGATAAGTAGCATGCTGGCAGGAACGGTTGCAAGAATTCGACTTCACATGCGAGTATCGTCCGGGGAATAGACATACCAATGCAGATTCTCTCTCTCGCCTGCCTCTGTCCACAGATACCGTTGCTGCAATTCTGAGTACGGCAATAGAGACCGACTGGCCCTCGCTGCAAGCAGCAGATCCGGATTTACAGATTATTTATCAAAGACAATTACATGGGAACAATAAGCCGTCCATGAGGGAGTTAAGAGACCAATCCCTCGCTACGCGTCGTATTTGTAACAAACGGAGCAACTTAAAATTATAAGGTAACACGCTATTCCTAGTTAATGAGTCCAGACAACCCCTGTTTATAGTACCGCAAGTAAAGACCCAGAGTACTGCGGAGCAAGTTCATCGCGAACTCGGGCACGCAGGAAAACGAAGAACTGAATATGCTGTTCGCCAGCGCTTTTGGTGGCCGTCTATTCACGAAGATGTAACTGACTTGTGCAAAAACTGTAAGACGTGTTGCCGCATAAAATCGCCTAAGCAAACACTACGTGCGCCGTTAATGCCGATAGGAACGACTGGACCGCACCAGCGAGTTGGTATCGATATTATGGGACCATTGACGACGACAAAAAAAGGAAATCGCTACACATTAGTTATGATAGATTATTTTACTAAATGGTGCGAAACAGTACCCACTCCGCAGCAAGACGCCCTAACTGTCGCACGGACTTTGATTGACCATTGGGTTTTCCGTTATGGTGCCCCACTCTCACTCTACTCTGACCAAGGCCCGGACTTTGAAAGTCATCTCATTGCTGAAATAGGCAAGTTATTAGGAATAAGGAAGACGCATACTACCGCATATCACCCAGAAGGTAAAGGTCTAGTCGAAAGGACAAATAGAACAATTAAAGCTGTTTTACAATCGTTCATCAGCAGATCGTCATTCGAGTTGTGGGATGAGGTGCTTCCTCAATGCATGCTAGCTTATCGAACATCAGTACATGGGTCTACGGGATTCTCACCTGCTATTTTACTATTCGGGCATGAACTACGCCTCCCAGGAGAGATACAGTCGCCTTTGCTACCGTACGAAGAACAAGAACACGTACCGTACATCCGTACTCTCCGTAACCGCCTGGCTGATGCGTACCGCTTGGTCAATACAAACTCGCGCAGGGCTAGTGACTGTCAAAAAGATAGTTACGATCGTCAGGTGCAAGGACGAGTGTATAAAGTTGGAGACCGTGTCTGATTACGCCGCCCCATGACATCAATAGGGAGTTGCAGTAAATTTCACCAGCCTTGGCACCGCCACTTCGAAATCGTCCTCATCCGATCCCCCACGACGGTTGTGTTACGTAACCCGCAACGATCTCAGGACGACGTAATAACGGTGCACTACAATCAAATAAAGCCAGATCGGACAACAGTACCTGCCGAAACCAGTCACTGAGGACAGTACCTCATTAGGAGAGGGGGTGGTGTAACGGAGTCAAAATCATCATGTATGATGTTGCTAACCGGTTCTATTTTCTTTCTATTTCAGGGCGATCAAACATAAACGCTTTGGAAGCTGAAGAACAAGCCTTGAGTGCTCTGAACTTACAGGATGACTCATAAGACTTTGGTACACTAGCCACCCTTTTTTCTGTAAAAAAACCCCGCGTATTTTATTTTCAAATAAAAGGGTGCAATGGCCGTACTTCGTGTTATTTCTTGGTGTGAAGTGTTAAGCTAACTCTGTTTGTTACGATATTGTATCTGATCCGCTGTTCAGTGACTGCTGATAGCACGTTTTACATTGGTATTAGTCCCTATACATAAAAATAATTAGATTAGTACAATAAATAGAGAAATTACAGTTAACAAGTGAAACGAATAAACATACCGACCAACTTAGCGTGTCTTATGGAAATGAATAAAACAATGAGTTACATCAATATAGGAAGATAATAATGTCATTAAATTAGTAGGGAGGGCATTTAAGCAGAGAAGTTTTACAGACAGGTCAGATCAGATCACTGGCTGGGCGCTTAAACTATAATCTGATTGGTTAGTTATGACATAACTACAATAAGTTATGGAGATGACTAACAACATTCCAAAAATAAGGTGATTCAAGTTTTTTATTGTAAAATTTGTCTTCCAATCATATTAAAATATTGATCGATTCATGCCTAATCATTGCAATTGAATCCTAAGTGTACTGATCAGTAATGTTTGTTCATCTAATCAAACCTATAGTAAACTACATAGAAAAAATTCAATTATCCATTATTTTATTGATCTATAATTTTGTTTTTTAAGGCGAAAGTTGTACAAAGAATTATAAATAGTTGACTTGTAAAAATTTGGCCATTACAATGTAAATGGAGGTAAATTTTCTTTTTTTTTCGTTTTAAAGAAAAACTTATTGAATTCAAAATACCAATCATACTCAAAAATAAATGAAAATGAGAAAAGAATGCGGTTAATGATTAGATTTACTTTGAACATCAACAACCGTCAAAAAGTAGCAAGTATTTAACTTAACTTATTATTTATTTGGCCCTCTCTAAGGTTATTTTACCACCTCATTGAGGTCAATTTCAATCCACCCACGTTTATGTTGAATTTGGTTTTACTAAAAGGAATGAGTGAGTATTATGGTAGTCGTTTAATGATTATTGGATTTCTTCCTAGACGTGTTGTTTTAGTCTTTTCGACCTTAAATTTTATCGTGTCTCAAATAGTCTTTATGTTTAAGCATATGGTTACAAAGATATCGGCTTGTTACCTCTCTTTTGATGCGGTAACTCTGAAGTTGGAATTTTACTTCTAAGCAAATAAATCTGTTTGCATATTTATCATAAAATCTTATAAACTGAAGTAACTATAATAGAAATGATCATGTATGTTTAATATGCTGAGGCGATAATATAAATCAGTGTCACAAACAATCTATTCAATTGCTTACAACTTAGTGTGTATTTGAATTCAATTTCTTCAAAAACATTTCATTGTCAGTAGTTTTTCACTCTAATCACCATTAGCTATTATGGTATAGTAGTTAGCCAAAGCTTATTTTCTGCTTTATTAATCATATCATCATATATTGATTGATGAAATAATTGTGTCAGTAATTTGAGGATTTTTTTTTACTTCGTTGACATTAATGTCCAGTTCGATCGTTTCATTAATTTATTCATTCAGCTCAAAACTTGGTATACAGCAAACTGTACACGTTTATGTACAGCCTTTGAACTAATGAACTAATGGGTTAGATAAATGTTTAACAGAGACAATTCTTGCACTTGTATTAGTTGTTAGAGAAACAGACTATGATCACTTATTGTACAGAATAGTAAATAATAAGTTTCATACAAAGATAATGGTGGATTTCATGTTATGATATAAGCCAAACTCAACTCATTGTTTCAAACTAAGCTTCACTAGAAAAATCGAAAGCATCTAATTATATTATCACAATAAAATAAATTGACAGATATCGATAAATTGTACAAATCTCTGATTACACACAAACAAATCATATATACTAAGTGATCAACTTAACTTACATATGTGATGTTATCATTATTATTTACACGTATAATTATTGGTATAAAAGGTGACCTAAATGTTTATGCACTACACAAATTATTAAACGTGTGTATAGGCCGAAATACTATTCTGGTGCCCAAAACAAAGCAGGCGGTTTTTTTGGAGAGCCGCTCCCCATGCCTTTGACCTAGAGATCTAATCCAAAAGCAATGGAACAACATTAGGAGATGCAATCTGATGGTCGTATTGACCAGGAACTGGTTCATACAGCATGCTGAAGCCCTTGAGTTCCATTGGTTTGGACTCCGATAGGTGACTATTTCGTACCTACCAGTCAGCTTTAGGCCCGGTTGGATACTCGATTTTCATCATATCAATTTCGTAAACAAAACCTCCCCCACTACGAGAAGCTAGTGAGTAGGACTTCTGTAGTGGTGGTGGGTATACACGTATGGCTATTTTAGAGCATTTCCAGAGAGAGAGAGAGGGCAGATTATCTGCATTATTGGCCATACCAGGGCATTTGAGGTTCATGATTATCTACCTATTTCAGACCGAAAAGAATCCTAGTTTAGAAGTGACTTTGAAAACTTCACAAAAGAATATTTATTTCAGTAACCATTTTCTACAAACGAAACAATAAATAAAATTATAAACTATCTACTTAAGTTATTTTATTTGTCAAGATTTTACATAACATCAACCTGTTCGAGAACTGGATGGTGAATATACCTACATAAATGAAATATCTTCAATGATCAACTATTGTAGTGAAGGAAAACAGAGATGAGGGCAACCGAATTGTATTTAACGAAAATTGCAGAGTTACTCAGTAAAATAGGAAAACCATATCGTAACCGTTAATTTGCAAATCTTCAATCCATCATCAATCCATTATCCGACATTTCACTATTCATGCGTTTCATACAAATTCCATTGTGTTCCCACTCTTCCTTTCTTGATCTTTCCCCATCTTCTACTGCCAGATATTACGTTTTTACTCGCGTCATAAACTACTTATAAGTAGTGCGCACCACACTATTAACACTTAAAAAAAAGTTAGATTTAAATTTCTTAAGCAAACTGGTGATATTTTTAAATGAGTTTATTTTTCTATGAACTCAATTTTGTTTTCATTTTTTTAAAAAAAAACACATTTTTAATGACTAAATTATTTCATCGTTAATTAGTTAATTAATATAATTCATAATAATTATATGTAAAACACCAGTCAATCAATCATTCATCAAAAGAATAATATTCATCCTATCGGATATACTTGTCATCCCCATCTATTCTATTCTGTCAATAGACTTTGAAAAATCAAAATTATAATTTCACTTTCTATCTCTCTCTCTCTCTTGTTATATTATTAAAACAAATTATTCATTGAATATTTAAAATAAAAGAATAAACTCAAATCATCCAAAAGTTGTTTATCATTAGCATTGTTGATCAACACTAATGCTAACACCATTCATCAAGGTCAGTTGTTAGTTTGTTTGTTTGTTTGTAAACAGAAAATGATTTCAATGTTAGAAATAACTATATAATCCAATCGTAATGTTAGACTAATTAATATTGCATGTGATATATACATATATATATATAGTGTGTCAGAAATTCTTCTGAATCAAGATCCTTGTTTCATTTTTTTTGTTAAACATTTTCTTTCAAATAAAAAGTGATAAACGAATTTCTGGCTAAGATTGTTAATCAATCAATTTGTTGTGAACAATTTAAACACAAGGGAAATTTTCGGAATCGGAATCTTTTGACATCAAGTGAGATGAACAATTTATTTTTTTCTTTTTTCCTTTTTTTTGTATTCAATATAAATGTAGTTTAGGAATTTTTGTTGAAAAAAGAAAATGAACTTGAGAAATATGTATTTGTATTATTTGTAGCTGGTTTTTTTAAAAGCTAAAAATTTAAGCTGACTAAATGCATTCTGGAGAATTTTATCAATGTTTATTTTTAGAATTGAAGAATTTTTTTCAATTTGTAGCCTGAATTATATCAGTCCATTTGTCACATCCCAAGTAACAGTTGAGAGCATTAAGTAAAGACTTGAATAACGTAAAGTTGTTTGCTTAGTTTTTACTCAACTTTAAAAATAATCATCTTTATTTTATATTTGATAGTAAAATTCAAAGATTATGTAGAGAACCTAATCAACTTTAAAGTTGAATGGAGATAATTAAAACAATATTTTGAACGAATCCTATCACAAAGAAGTGTAATGCAATGATGTGAATGTCTGCTAAATTAATATTAGGAATGAATAAGTCAAGACAAGTTTCTTAAATTGATTTAGACACATAATTTTTACTAAATGAATCAGATTCACAACAGTTGCTCAACGAAATATATATATATATATATATATATATATATATATATATATATATATAAATACAGACAAAAGTTTCAATATAAATTAAACATGATTAAAAGTATTGATTGTGAGAGATAAAAAGTTTGAACTTAAGCAGTTTATGAAATTTCTAGTTTTGTATACCACCAGTTGATACAAATGATGCTGTAACATCCATATTCTAACATGCATTTAATTGATTCTAATTATGGAAAGTAAAATCTTGAATTAATCAGCTAAAGTTCAAGGGTTACATTCATCTTAATACAGTATTTCATTAGCTTGCCATCATCACTTTCCAAGTGATAATTTATCATATTAGATTAGAATAGAAAGAACAAGAGCTTTAGTATGCATAATAATAATAATACTCTATTTGTGTTAATGATTGACATTAATAGTACAATAAGAACACAAACTTTATTCACTTTTAAGTGGAATGTAATTGTGCGTAAGTAAGAGTTCAGCATCAATCGTTATAATTGGTAAAAATGAGACCAAACGATTAAAAATAGCTTATTTAATTGTCATATGTTAATTCTTTAAAATGTCAATTTATGAAATAGTTTGATATACTTTATCAATAAACTGAATATATATTAGTGCAGAGCCCCCAATTTATCACTCGGTAAAAAGTCTATAGAGGCTCAGAAACTCCAGGAAATATTTCATCCAACCGGTATTGAACAGAACCTCTTCAGAGACATCTGGAAAATGAAGAATCACGTGGCATGATTCTGATTAGATGTACACCTTCTATACTGCGTATAGTTCCCGAAAATTCCAGAGGCCCAGGGTCATGACTAATTCTATAAATACCCTTACTTTTCCTGTACATAATTTAGTCTTGAAGTAAGCGCTCTTCACATAATTCGTACCTTTTCTCTTCTGTTCACGTTGTCGTGTATATTTAGTTTGTAGTTTTTAAAGTGGGCATGAAATCTGATCTTAAGTTTACTAAGCAAGCTTAACGTAAATCATCATGGGAAGAAAGAGATACAGTATATTTCAAGAAATAACTAGTTTAATCCTATTTATGGCTAGTTAATAAACAGGAAATCAATTTCAATTTAAATAAATGACCTTGTGGAGAGCCAAATGATTTACTTACCAATTATTAATTAGTCTAATCAGTAATCAGATATTAAAGTATGTAAAAGTTTGTAAATATGTCTGGTATGAAAGTAATTCGTTTCATGTGCATTCTTTTTTTAAAAAAAAGTACTCTGCTAGACTTATTATAATGATAAACAAAAATACCTTTGAATAAACAAAATATTTATGAATCTAACCTTTTCACTCAAAAATTCATGTTTTAAAAAGAATACCATAGAAATCCATTGTTTAATTACTAGTCATCGTATAAAACAAATTAAAAAATATAAATTTTAAAAAAAGATAATTTGAATTTACCCAAAAACTTCCAAATTAATTGAATAAATATGATCGAAAAATTTTAAATCATCAATAATACTTTTAAAAAATCAATACAAAAATGGCAATATTACGCATAGAAATCAATAGAATCATTCACTAGTGGTATGTTGCGAGCTACTTATAAGTAGTATATGACGTGAGTGTCAACGTAATGTCTGGCAGCAGAAGATGGGGGAAGATCAAGAAAGGAAGAGTTAGAACACAATGGAATTTGTATGAAACGCATGAATAGTGACAATGGATTGATGCTTTGCAACAGGAACAGTCCAGTTCGATATGATGAACTGATATTTTGCAAATTAACGATTTACGATATGGTTTTCCGATTTTACTGATTTTACAACTATCTATCTAACTATCTAAAACTGAAGAATTTTTCCTTTTGATATAATAATTATCAATTAAATCAATGTGATCTTCATTTATCTTAGTGTTATCATTTCTCAATTTATAAATCATTACAATATTCATCAATAATATTAAGATCTTAAAAAAATTTGAAACTACCAATTCAATCATCAAATATTTTGTTTTATTTGAAACAGAGAACAATAATAAGGAAACAGTTGAGAAATCAAACTAATTCATACAATGAGGGTGAATGAACTACATTGAATAATAATAATAATATGGACAAGTCATGAATAGCTATGATCTTCAATGTTATACTAAGCACCTTAGAATATTAGGATATAATAGATAACATATAAAATGGATTGTAGAATGCAACAAAAAGTATAACCTTGTTGTTAGTCATGTCAACCACCAACTGCCTCGATGAGCTTTGTTTTGTAGTGTAGGAGTAGGCTGGAAGAAAGTTAGGGGCGACCAGACCAAAACATGACAGAAATCCATGAAGTCATTGACAAGTGGATTGAGTCACGTTGGTAGTTGTCGACTATTTGGTTGGAGTCCGCAAGATGATAATAATCGATGGTTAGAAACCCTGGATGACATGGCTCAAAACCATTTGCGATGGTGCCAGTGCATTTATTCTTTGTGTTCTCTCAAATCCTAATCTTCTGGATTCTTCAACACCTCAACTTTTGTTTTTCTAAACTTATCTCACTGAATCATACTGCTTGAATAATATCTTCTAATCCTAACCTCCCCGACTACTACTAATACCTTTACTACGTCTACTACTATTATGGTATTTGAATTGACAATTACATCTCTATGCTCATGTGGTATGACAACATGAACTGATGTACGTACGTACGAAGTTCTATGTTGCCTCTGACTGACTGACTTTTAATTCGAAATCAATATTGAATAATTTCAAAATACGTTCATTTAATGTAACTATGACATCTGATACGACATTTAATTTTGATGTATTTAAACAAACATTCATTACAGAAGAATTAATCACTTTAATAAAATGGAATCATGTAAAGTTGTTATTTAAACATAAATTTGTTGAAATCAAATGAAAAAGAAAAAAACCATTTCATTGCTTTTCACCATTGCTTTTTTTCCTCTTTATTCTCAGACCGGTAAATAAACAATCCCTATACATATACATATTTGTTGAAAAACGAAAACATCTTAATTTGGAAACAACAAACTATGCAGTTTTATTTGATTGTCTTATTGTATTGTATACTTCAACAATTTGTTTATATTCATACTAATTCAGGTAATGTGATTTATTATTTCCGAGTGTAAATTACTAAAAAGAGATTATTTCAATGAAATCTATTAATCGATATATATAATCTGATTGTATGTATATTTATGAAGATAATATTTCCTGATTCTTTGCTTCAATTCTAAAATTCAATCATAATATCGATGAACAAACTAAGTCTATTAGAATTGAAAAGTGAAAATCTAAATCAAATATCTTATGTAATTTTGTACTTTAAGGTTAATATTTAAAATATTAACAGATAAACAAGAAGATTACTACATTGAGATCGCTGTATTTCAAATAAGTAGTTATCTTCACAATTCTTATCATAATTTCTGGGCTAAGTAAATAGATTATCAGTGTTTTATACAGATTAGTCGGGAAAACAAAAGTGCTTTCTCATGATTTATATTATCGAATATAATTAGATGATTATAGAGTTTTAATATAAATTGGCTTAAACTATGAAAAATAAAAGTTTTAATTATACAATAAACTTATAAAACAGAGTTGTTTTTTTTTTTATAAAAATAACTTGACCTCAAAGTCGGTTTTTATGCTTTGAACAACGACGGTCTGATTTTAAAATGAGGTACTTAGTCTCGTATACAAAACAAAACAAAACAAAACTAGGATCCGAATAACAAGCTTTAAACGGAATGAAATATGAAGTCTGAATTCTCTACTACGGTAGACGTACAAATACTTGAATACTTTTCTTTTAGTTTGATAATAGTTATGTTTACTTGAAGAATTGTTTGTTATAATTTAAAATAACTTATCACACAAAGTAGTAATACATACTCATTGATTATATAAGTAGATATATAAATGCATGGTCGGTGGCCTATACTTCGTTGGGAGGTGGGTAACAGGCGTAATAATTGACTAAGTAGGTATAACAATACATACAGTATTAACACAATCAGATGAAAATCACTGGGGTTTGTTGACAGAAATTTCAATAATTTAACTATAGTTCTTGAAGATCATACATACTTGAATGATATTTTCAATAAGATCTATGGAGATCATTGTTTCTACACAATGAAATTAGGAATCAGTGATTGTTAGATCACCATTCGAAACCTGGAAGCACTGAAAGATGGCCGTCGCAAACTTGCATGAGACTCATCAGTAGAGTGCATCCACAACGAAACGGTCGTTCAGCGCTTTTAGGTTTCTAATGGTAGTCTAACAATGATTGATTCATCATTTCAATGAAACTCAACAATCTTCATATATTTATCATTAGAATTAGATACTGATGTGACAAATTTGATAAAACAAAATGATAGATACTTTTTCAGAAAATACTTGCTCGATAACTTCATAATGAGTTTGGGATGTTATTCAGTTATTCCCTGGGAACTAACAAAATTGTATGAATAACTGTAATTATTTGCAATAAAATTCAATGGTTAAATTATATCATCAGGTTTTACGATGTAAAATACTGACTTATTATTTTTATTGTGAAGTATAATTTTGATTAATTTGTAATTGGCTTCCGAGTATTATCATTCTTTGATTCAGGTTAAAAGTCGAATTTTTGTCTATCCCTTACAACTAACAATGATCGTGAATCGCTAATTTTTTCGCTAGACTATCATCATAGTTTTTATAGACATAATCAATCGACATCTGATATGCCTGAATGCTATTACGAGTTTACCATACTCGGTAAACGGAGCGAAAGCAATGACTTACTCACTCGATAGGCTATTCTAATCCGTCTGTCCCAGCCCCGGCTAACCAGATCAAGAAGTCTTGATAAGGCATAGGAAGTGCATTTTCACAAGCATCCAGAAAATACGAGGTGTTTCAGCACAGAAATCAGCTTATTTATACAATGGTAGAGACGCCTTTAGGAGAGCCACGAAATAGCGTACTAAAATAATCCATCAACCAATGACAGTCAAGGATTTTCCGAGGTGAAAATGTGAGCTAAAGGTCAACAGGCGTGAAAACATGGAAATCCAAAATTTCAGAATAAGATTACAAAATTCCGACTATTCCAAGTGAGTTCTGGGGAATCGAACGTGCCTAAAAACACCCTACTGTTTTTTCCCTGTCTCTTATTCGACACAAATAGAGCACTGAAATCAAGTTTAGGTAAATCATACTTATGTTGGTTATCTGATGAAACTTTGAGATTTCCTAATTATGACTGTAATCAATTTAATGAGTTGAGTATCGTGTTTCATATGTAGAATATCTGATTTATTAAGGAATTGTTAAGAACCAGTGTTAACGAAATAGAAAATTTTTGATCAAGTATTTACTTCTCATATATGTATCTATATTTATATCTATAGGAGATGTAGGAACGTTTTATCACACTGAAAGCTTCAGAAAACAAAAATGTGTCATTTTTGAAAGACCAGAAAGTTGTGCAAAAGTTATCAAAAACAAGTCTCCGCGTAAGTTACATGTCTTTTTTTTCGGCAAAATATTTATGGAACTTTGAGATGTGTAATAACACTGTTTATGATTACATAAATAATGTATAATCCTAAATAAATTATGATCAATTTATCGACAGAGTACACAATTGGATTACATTTTTTTCAATTTATGGAATACATTATCACAAATACACATCAGAATTGTTAATTCTACTACACAAACATACTTTCTGGTGCTTTCATTTGTTCTCTATACTTTCGTAAATTAAAGTATCACCAGTGATTAAGATAATGATTGATTTTTTTTAAATCTAATATTCCATTGTCCTGTAGTGAGTCATTCAATGTCTAGCTCACATGACTTGTTCCGCTTGTCTTTTGACCTTGTCACTCATTCGTCGCTTTCATTCATGTGCGTGCATGTCTACTCGCTTACTACATGTCTGTCTCATTTTTGTTCTTTCCTGAATCCTATCAACTATCTCTGTTATGTGATCTATGTCGACATCTGTATCCCCAAATGCAAGGATCTGCTGAATATTTTGGGGTAGTCGCCGGAGCCACAGCTGATAAAATATGCTGCTGTTTATTTTCCCGTCTCCGATTGTGCTTCTCATATAATTTCTTAGCTGTGATGGAGTCCTATCACCTAGTTCAACTTGGTTGAGAAGTCGGTCTAGGGTCTGTTGGTCACTTAGTGAGATGGCCTTTATCACAGACGCTTTTAATACGTCATGCATGGCCGTATTTGTCTCGTTGTAAGCTGATACGGTTAACTGAGAAGTAACTTTCAAGTCTAATAAACCAAAATTGTGGGTCAGTGACACTAAACAGAGGAATAGAAATATTAAGGGACCTCACGGACGTCACTTGTGGAAGACTTGTATCGTTAACTGAAGATATGTTAATATACAATAAATAGTACACAAATAAATTAACAAATATAAGGGGAGGGAATTAGATAGACGATAATAATGTTAACAACAATTAATAAGAGGTTATAACACGGAACAGACTTACTAAAGTGCAGCAGTATAACAGTTGTATGTATAATGACGTTAATCGTGATTGTTAATATTGTCAAAATATGTCAAACAATGTTTATGGAAAAATTAACATGTAATGAAAATATGATAATAATAATAATAATAAATCCACAATGGTAATTATAATCCACAGTAGTATTCGTATCGAAATGGTCAGTGTCAGTAATAATATTGTGGTCACGTTCGGTTCGTTTTAGAATGATTAAAAAATAACTGACTAGTAATATTCATTTATCACTTTTGCAGCGTTGATCAACAAACATTAACTGACCTTGTAAAGACATTCATCTTGCAAAATTATTGCAGAATATATGAAATACATTCATTCCAATCTCTTTTTATAAGACTAAAGTTGATGATATGTTAAAAGGTAATCAATATGCTATACAAAGAGAAATAAACTGAACTTAACGTTGAAGAAATTTTAAGGGTTTATTTATATAGGCTACAATCTTGTAGAAGAGAGATAGTGACCCAACCATTATAGTAAAAAAGATCCCGAAATCGATTATATCATGTCAAATAGTTTGTATTGTAGCAGTAGTGAATGGTATGTTATTAACTTGTGAATCATTATTGAAATAATACTAACGTACACTAACATAGCAAATTCATCAGAAGAATTCTGTCATCGCTATTGATTATATTAGTACCTTTATGTTCTCTGAACCATTCAGTTTAGTTGTAATGTTTTCATTTACGTCTCAGATGACATGATCTCAGCCTAATTCCTATTTGAAATGAATTGTTTGACTACTCCACTATTCTTGTGTCAGTTCGTTTTGATAAGTTTGTTTTGAATTTATTGTTTTCAGAGGATATGCTAACTCAACTTATCTTTCTTTCCAAGTTGGATGTTGTGTTTAGTTAGTTTATGACTACTACTATATGATTGATTGAAGGTTTCTTGTTTCCTCTGGTAGATTTGTACGAAAAAAAACCATATCTACTGATAAGAATTTGTCAGAAATTTATAAGTATTCTTGGAAGATTTTCGGTCGAATCCTTGTGCGAAATTCTCTTCATGCATTGATATCAGTCATAATTATTATTGTGCTGTTTCATTGCTAGTCTTACTTACTTACTTACTTTATTTATGCCTATTACCCCCCAGTGAAGCATAGGCCGCCGACCAGTTTTCTCTATGTTCGTATATTCACAGATGAATAGGGCAAATTGTTTTCCTAATATAGTGAATCTCCCAACTGATATGATATGAAATATTTTGTAGATAATGTTTCTCTCACTCTCATCTATAATTGTATCTTTTAGTCATTAAAAAAATAAAATTGTGTACGATTATAAGATAAATCTACTGATACATGAACTAGTCCTTGTAGTGTGGATTAGGAAACGCTTTTCACATAATCTGGAATGATCTTATTTCTAAGACCAATATTTTAGTCATACAAGTCCATCTATTAAAAAAAATCCTTCAATAAAGAGTTTCAGGCCACCTGATTACTAACTACTACAAGGCTAACTAACAGAAAATAAATTTACTTAATATTTCATCAATTGAATACTGATGTGAAATTATGCTTCTATTATATCATATCCGTGTGTGTGTGTATGTGACTTCTAGTGGTGCATTGCTGCTCTATTTTAAGAAATTGTAATTGATTTGTTTTGCCACATACCACCAAAAACTAGTCATTTATTCATTATTATCATTGTACTAACTTTGACCGATTGTTTTGATAGATAAGTAATAAATGGCAATGCTTCTGTAAAATTCTTACATCAATTATTTGTTCAATATTGTGTCGTGATCGTTGCACACACACACACATACATAAGTATTAACACAGTGTACTGAAGAAAACAATCAAAATATTTTGTGGTGACCAATTGCAACATGTTCTTAAGCTTTGTAATTCGTTCAACTAGGCAATCGTCACTAAATAGCGGCCTGACGGTTATAAATCAGAAGGCAAACACGACGTTTATTTTTGACACACGAAATGGGACAGTAGAGCACAAGCAGACAGGGCAGGCATGCTAGCAAGAGAATTGGTGAATGTGCGAATGTATTAATAAGATTAGAATGTTCGTATATATAAATTGGGAAATGTCTGAGTCATCGAGATATTTAAGATTACAATCAAAGCGAATAGGATGAGTATGCGCGTAGGCCCAATCAATGCTCAGTCGTATTAGCTCATACAAACCAGACAACAATTATAACCAATGGTACAACATATAAGTTGTCGTTATACAAATGGCTTGGTTAAATAAGTTAATCGAAAGGCTTAATCCAGTTAAATATGAACGAACTCAAATGTATTTGAAGGCACTACAATCTTACGATTACAATAGCCAAATATTATATTTCAGTGTAATCTCTGTAATGGTATCACAGTTTAATGATAGGTAGAACTATTTAGACAACTAAAGCATGATGAGAAACAGTTTCAATGCATTACTGTTCTGTATGAAGTTAAAAGTCTAAAATATTGCATATTGAATCCACTGTTCAAAGGTAAATCATTCAGTGCAAAACCTGAAGATTCCGGATACAGGGCACTAATAATAATGTTACAAAAATTCAGTCGAAAAATTTGTTCACTGAATAGTTTTTTTTTATTTATTTTACTCGTATTCTAAAATGGAATTGAATCCAAGTTTTAATTCGAAAAAAAAACTAGTTTCTGTACATCATTTATTTTGGGGGAAAGTTTTGGAGGCTTGCGATTTTACACATTTGAAATGATCAATCAATCATTGTTAGACCACCATTAGAAACCTGAAAGCACTGGACCGCCGTTTCGTCCTGGTATGGGACTCATCGGCAGTGCGCATCCACGACTCCAGCTCCTTGCAGGATTCGAACACGGGACCCTCGGCATTGTAGGCGAACGCCTTACCATCGGACCACTGGGCCGGCATCCAACCGAGTTAATGTCTGACTCTGATTGATCTAGGGATTTTGCGCGACCTCACCCATTTCTCTTTAGTAGTTACTGCCTACACCCGACAGGGTTGAACTCCATTGGTCACGTCTTCTCAACTAGAACTCCGAGAATTTCCTCACGAAGCTAGTCACAAGTGAGCACTGTTACGATATTTTGGGGCAGAGTTTAGGAGGTTTGTGTTTTTACACATTTGAAATCCTGCGAGGAGCAGGAGTCGTGTATGCGCACCGCTGATGAGTCCTATACCAGGACGAAACGGCCGTCCAGTGCTTCCAGGATTCTAACAGTGGTCTAACAATGATTGATTGATGATTTCAAATGTACATCATTTAACCAAATATTTGAAATACAGAGTTTGTTGTTCCTGCCCATGGTTTATTTCAGTTGATACCAGTTTGGAATGAACATAACTTCACTAAACAATATCATTTTCATGGACAATAATCGATCTATATATGTATATATATCACTAAATAAAAATCATTTTCTTCACATACAAAAAAAATTGAAATCATTATTTAACTGGAATCTATTTACTTTCGGCATAATTAAGCATATTTTCAATGAGACTTATGAAGATTAGTGTTTCTTTACGCATTTGAAATCATCAATCAATTATTGTTAGACCACCAGTAGAAATCTGGAAGAAGTATTCACAGGACGGCCGTTTCGTCCTGGTATGGGACTCATCAGCATCGTATTATTTTGGTGATCTCATTCAATTGGATAGGAATAGTTTCCAGTGTTTAGTTTACTTAAAAGGCAATTGAAAATAATCTTACCTTGAAATAAATCATGAATGAATTCATTGTTAGATTAACATTAGAAATCTGGAAGAAGCATTCACTGGATGGCTGTTTCGTCCTGGTATTGTTGGGGAGGTTAGATCCCCAGAACTCACTTGATAGATATCTTTATTTTTGGATTTATTTCATGGACCGATCAGTTGACTTTGAGATCACATTTCCCACCAGGAAAATCCTTGGCTGTGATTGGTTACTGTGTCATTTTAGTGTGCTATTTTTGTGACTGTCTCAAAGATGTCTCTATAGAGTATAAATAAACGCGATTTGAGTGCTTGGATTGATTGTGTGCTTGCTGGGCTGTGTTTGTAGAATACACTTTCTACGCTGTATCAAAACTTCTTGCTGGTACAATTGGAACAATCGGATCCCAGTAGCCTACCTGGACGCTGGTTCATTGTCTCGTTCTCGTTATTCGACTAAGGTGAACCCATTAAAAGTTTTAAGCATATCTAGAGACAAGCTTAACAGGTATGCAACTACGCCTCATCAGCATTCGTTCGTTGAATGATTAGAAGTATTAAGATGTATTAGCACTTTTTTTTAAAAAAAATTCCTTTTATAATTTCATTTTTTTTCTCTTTTTCAGTATTCACACATTTTGCTGTAGCATTAGAATTGGAAGAAAAGGAATTGAAAAATTTATTAAAAGCAAACTTAAGCATAGCTGAAAAAAATCGAAAATTTGAATATTGGGCAGAAAAAAGCTGTAATATCGTAAGTGATAAGGGCGGGCGGGATTGTAGCCGTTTTTTTTTAAAAAAAAAATATGATTTATCAGTTAAACAATTTTAACCATCGTATATACTGATTGTATTCATACAGATTGTCAATTTGTAAAAAAAAATGTCACATTACCTTTTACTGGTTGTCTGGGAAAATTAGCTTAAACTTTGATTGTAGATGATGATGATGAAATCATGTACCGATAATATTCTCCAATATGAGTGTATCCCTTCAAGTTCTGATAATTTGATTACAACTAAATAAATATACCTGTAGTGAATGAGAACACAGGTGGGGCAACCGAATTGTATTTAACGAAAATTACAGAGTTACTCAGTAAAATCGGAAAACCATATCGTAAATCGTTCATTTGCAAAAGATCAGTTCATCCTATGGAACTGGACTGTTCCTGTTGCAAAACATCACTCCATTGTCACTATTCATGCGTTTCATACAAATTCCATTGTGTTCTAACTCTTCCTTTCTTGATCTTCCCCCCATATTATGCTACCAGACTTTACGTTGACACTCACGTCATATACTACTTATAAGTAGCTCGCACCACAGCACCACATACCAACATAGGTATCTAATGAAGTCGTGACTGCCAATAACTTGTCATCTTAATCCTATTCATGTGTGTTCACTTACATGCGCCCAGTTAGTCCTAGTGCAGCATAGGTCTCCAACCAACTCTGTCATTCGTTCAACTTTCTAGTTATTCCCAATTGCTATTCATTCTTTTGATGCCTGTCTCCGATTCCCAGCGCAGTACAGAATACGGTTAAATCAACAGCCTTTTCACTCATTAAATTTTTGTTCACATTTGTTCTTCTAATTGATATAGGTAGATAAGTCATAAGCAATTTCTTATCATATCCACTTTCATATTGTATAAAACCATGCGTTTCATTAGCAAACATTATGGCCTCCATATAGAAAAACCTTGACATCAATAAAATTAATCTTTGTCTTCGTTGCTTCATATATTACAATGAAAAAGACTTGATACAAACTGATCATTGAACAGTAGTTCCCTTTGATAAATTTGAATAGAGAAATGAGAAGACATATTTTGTGAGATAGTACCATTTCGTGCTTTCTCGTCAGTCACATACAAGCAACATGTTATTTGTGTCATCGAAACCCGCACACACTGAAACTACTCGAAGCTATCTTGATTGGTTGGAAAAGTCCCACTTTATGTTGACCTTTGTTTACCATGGTTCTAGTGAGTGAATGTCATGCTAAACAAGAAATTTTGACCTTATTTTCAAAACTGTATTTACATAAATAACATGTTGCTTGTATGTGACTGACGAGAAAGCACGAAATGGTACTATCTCTCACAAAATATGTCTTCTCATTTCTCTATTCACATTGAACAGTAATCAATTTCGTATTGTCTAACATTTAGTGTTGATTGAACTGAATTGATTATTTTTTTATGATAACGTGACTAATATTCTCAATGAGAGTAGACATCATGTTGAACTAGGATTGACGTCACAATGAACTAACTGCCTTGTTCACTTAGGGGTTCAGTGTGACTATTGATAAACATATGTATCTTCAATCTTGAAAAAAAAAGAAACTGATACTTTGTGTATTATTCAAACACACATCATTCAATTTCACAGTTAGAGAAGTTAGTAGTAATGATGAGAGTTATTGAAACCTCGGTCTTCTATCAAGAAAAGTTAGTTTTTTAATATAACATTGAATTTTACCAATAATAGTAACCATCAGCACAATGTACTTACAGTTCTGACAAGATCATACGATAAACAAAGTAATAATTTAAAAGTTTATGTCTATTATTAGTCTTTCTAATAACCTTAATTATGTTATTCAGTTAGTTTTTTAATATTGAAAGTTGAATTCACTATTTATTTTGTTTTATTGTATTGTTAAATAATAATAATAATAATATGAAAGTTTTTTGTCATTTGTTTTTTATTGATTTTCAAAAACAAACAAAAAACATTAGATTTTACAACAGCTTACAACAACAGAAATGCCATATTATGAAAGACCATATTGTAGTGTTGTTAGATTTATTCCATCCGATGTAGAAACTGTATTCGCTTTACTTGATATAGTTTATGATTCAATTAAAGCAACACAACTACATGATCAAACTTTACTTGGAACATTAAGACAAAACAAAAGATATCATCCTGATGGTAATAATTTAGCCGAACTTCATGTGAAAATTATGTGTAAGTAATTTTAATGAAATTGTTTGAAATTACGAAATTATGCTGAATTACACATTTGAAATCATCAATCAATCAATCAATCAATCATTGTTAGACCACTATTAGAAATTTAGAAGAAGCACTGAAACACAGCCGTTTCATCCTGGTATTGGGACTCATCAGTGGCAGTGCGCATCCACGATTCCTGCACCTTGTAGGATTTGGACCCAGGACCTTCGGTCTTGCACACGAACACCTAACCTCTAGGCCAATGGGTCGGTATCCAACGGTGTTAATGTCTAACTCTGATTGATCTACGGATTTTGCGCGACCTCACCCATTTGCCTTTGTTAGTTACTGCCTACACTCGACAAGGTTGAAATCCACTGATCACGTTTTCTCCGAGAATTTCCTCACGAAGCTAGTCACTAGTGAGCACATATTACGATATTTTCAATTAGAGTAATGGAGATTAGTGTTTTTACACATTTGAAATCATCAATCATTCATTATTAGACCACCATTAGAAACCTAGTTCAGAGGTTAGGCGTTCACGCACAATACCGAAGGTTCCGGGTTAAAATCCTGCGAGATGCCAGGAGTCGTGGATGCGCACTGCTGATGAGTCCCATACCAGGACGAAATGTCCGTCCAGTGCTCTCGGGTTTCTAACGGTGGTCTAACATTGATTGATTGATCATTTCAAATGAGTAAAAACACTAATCTTCATAACTCTAATTGAAAATATGCTTAATTAGTTCACCAAAATATTATTGACTTGATTTGTTTTAATTAGGATTTTATTATGGAGTTGCATTTTTATTTTTGAACGAGTTTTCCAATGGTTAAAATAAAAAAAGGCTGATGCACAAATATTCTATTGATTGATTTATTAAATTAAGCCTCCTAATGAACTGATATCAGCAGAAAAAGTGGTTGCCCAGTAGTACTTTAAAATAATTGATTACCGAAAATTAGTTTTCTAATATGGATACTTTCAGAACTTGAATTTTTTCAATAAAACATTTTAGTGTGAATTAATTTGATGATATTTAGTTTAGGTCTTTAGTAATAAAACTAAGCGAGTTATCCACCTGTGTACAGATTCACATAAACATTTCGTTATTATTTTAGTTGCACGAATAGTTGGAAATAACTTCAAAATTTAAATTCCTTGCAACATATGTATATATACAAAGTTGTTGTATCGTTTACGTTGCATTGAATATAATCCACTGATCGAAAATCTATCAGTATAGGGTTGTGAAGATGGTTGAATTTCATTGAAACCATGAACCGATCAATGTTAGACCACCATTGAATAGCTGGAGGTAGTGAATGGCCGTTTTGTGCTTGTACGGGACTCTTCAGCAGCGCACTACTACAACTCGACAAGTGGGAACTGTATCCAGGACCTTCATCCTCCCGGCATGAACACTTAACCTCTTGACTAGTCAGTCAACATCCAACGGTGTTGATGTCTAACTTCAGTCAATTCGCGATCATCATCTATGGTCTCCTGTGGGTAAAACTCTCACTTACCTGAAATGGTTGAACTTCATTGGTCATGGCTTCTCACTAGAACTTAATGAGCAAATATGGCATATTTTCGTTGTCGTCATTGTTAATCAATGATTATGTATTTAAGAAATTTTTGTTACGATTCAACTTTTAGCCAATACAATGAAACGGACATGTGAGGAGTGCAAAGAAATTTGCCCACCGTATTCATATTGCGTAAATACAATGAATGGAATCAATTGTGTATGTAGATTCGGATGGACAAAAGTAGGAGGGTTTAGTCGTTCACAACGTTGCAAATGTAAGTTAATAACCAGTTTTTGATAAGTCTAAGGATATTTGAGCTCAACCGTAAGTAGGGCTACGGTATTATATTAAAGAGTAATCTTTGAATATACTAAATTATATATCTACTAATGAATGATTTTCATCACACAAAATCTTTCTAAACTGTATATATGTTAACATACTAATGAAACTAGCCAGTTGATGATAATTTGACGAGATGATTTAGCATACCGGATAAATAAAACTACTCTGTGTGATCTTACCTGTGATAGGACTTTTTTCTAAAACATAGATTTTACCCAGGAAATCTGTGTACAGTTATAGACGATAAATGGTTTGAGGCGACCAAATGGATATCACAAACCTAGATTTCATGTCTACTGACAATCATCAGTATAGCTTTTCTCACGGAAAGATTTAAATTTGCATCACTTTAATTGTCACCGTTAGATGTGTTTCCAATGGTTTAGTTAGTTTAGCTACGATGTTACAAACAAATTTGGTTTCTTAAAATTAACTGATAATAGAGTATTGATCAAATTCATGTTATCCAGTCCCAAGTGTAATATATATGGTCAAACAATCATCCTTATTCCAAACAAAAATTAACTGAAACTGAGTCATGGGAAAAAAAACTAACTATAACAAACTCTAAAAAAGTAAACCATTGATTATTAACATTGACTTCCAACTTAATTTCTAGACTACATAGTAATCAAGTTCTTAGTACGTAACTAAACTATGTAAAGTTACCCACTAGAAAACCCGTTCTAACGATAAAGTAAATAGATTGCCCTCCAATATGACTATACGATAATGAGATAACACAAGATGGAAAAGCAGACTGGATAAACTAGACTACAATAAAACACTATATTATTAGACCACTAGATTAGGTCATACGATAAACAATCTCAACCAATGATTAAGAGTCAGATTATAGGTCATATGATTGTTTTGCGGATTCGAATGCAACCAGCCAACATAAAGTGCTGTTCAGAGTAAGGATCAAAGGCTAGATAGTGTGATTACAAATTAGACTGGAGACGTGCCTTCATTAGGTAATCAACACTACCTAACATATCGAAATAATTAAAAATCAAGGAGCATTGCACTAGAGTCCCATTTCATCATGACACAAAGCAAGTGTCCACTCATCGAACTAACGGGGATTGAAACCAAATGTTTGAATAGAACAAAATATGAAAGAATTTCAAGTTTCTTTGATTTGATAGAAAAATTAGAACTTGTATCTGAAATAGCGTTTAAAACAATCTCCCCATACATTTATGGCGCGTATCATTCTGCTTTTATTGTCATTATTAAAATATTCTTTTCATCTCTTTCTCTATGCTTCTTTTCTTCATACAGTACATCCAATCTCTGTGGTTCTTCTGGTTATTTGTGGACTGTTATCGATAACACTATTTGTTTTATCCGGGTATTTCATAAAAAGAATTACCGTGACAAAATACCTAAGACGAACTGAAATAACAAAATGATACTCTGGAAAAGAGGTTTCACCCCCTAGATTTTGCTGACAATATTTTATAGCTGTATACAATATCTTTATGTGAAAGTGGATATATATATGATGTAATTTAACCAGGCTTCTTTCCATTCAGGTTTTCTAATATTACTTCCAAAACAATGAAATTTTATTGACAATATTTTAATGCAATATTTACTTTTATTAAAAAAATAAAAACTCACCAGAAAGAATACTTAAGAAGTGAACGTTCTTGTAACTATTATCATTATTATTATTATTATTGTTATAGTCAAATTAATAAATTTTATATTCGAAATTGATTTTAATTTGAAAAAAAAACCACTGAAAATCGATACTGTTTACATGGAGCCATCCTAGAAAATTCGATACAATTGTAAGGACTCGAACGAATCTTGTTCCATGTAGTATACATGTCATTCATTACCTTTAGATTACAGTTTTCAATCTCAATTTAGTAGTGTTATCAGTGTAACGATTTATAATTAATACCGATTTAACTAGCTGTACAAATTACGACTTCTTAAACAGAACTCATTAGAAAGAAATCTCCTGACATTCAACTAATTTCGTCTAGTTATCAACTTGTTTACCACGTGAAGATGATATTTTTTTCTTATTAAACGTATTAAATATTCACAAATTATTGGGTTATATAGTAATTATATTAAATTCATCCAGTTTCACAGTGAAGTATCACTCAAAAGTTTCAAGAATCAAGCTGATATTCAATACAGAATTGATACTGTGTTAGATAAAAATACAATCCGTAACTAACATTTCCTTTGTACATACTAATATCAATCAAATCAACCGTCCTATCCGTTAGTTTTAAACAAATATTAGTTCTCTATTAGTGTTGTGGACGTTAGATCCCTAGAACTCACTTGGAAAAGGGCCTAATTTTGGATATCTGTGTTTTCGTGCATAAGCTGCTTAGTTGACCTTGAAATTACATTTCCCACTCGGAAAATCATTGAATGCTATTGGTTGATGTGGCTCTCCCAAGGACATTTCCATCATACATAAATAAGCTCGATATGTGTGCTTGTACAAAAGTTGGACAGAACTGGAAAGTGAAGCCCAGGACAGAGTTGGTTGGAGAAAACTGGTGGGCGGCCTATGCTCCATCGGGGGTAATTGGCGTAAGTATGTGTGCTTGTCGACATCGTATTTTCTGGGTGCTTGTAGAATACACTTCTACGCCTTATCAAAATTTCTTGATATAGTTAGCCGGGTCGGAGACAACGGAGTAGAATAGCCTATCGTGTAACCGCGTCATTTTTCTGCACTCCGTTTACTCAGTAAGGTGAACACGTATATCACGCATATCAATTGACGAGCATAACAATCAGATATGTGAAAGCATTTAATGAAGACAAAACAAATTCTAATATCGTATGAATTTTTTTATTCAAGTGATTTATACCTGTTAGGATATTCATTCAATATTTTAAGAGAATTATTGTAAGTCTAATTCCATTGGTCAATTCCTATTGGTTGTCCTAACTATCAATGTCACATACTTCAAACGTTGTTTCCTGTCCGACTTCACTGTATGAATACACATTATCTGTAACGTTTAATAACCCAGATCCTTATCCTCATCTGGACTCGGACCTCGTACTTTCTGGATGCTTGTAGAATACATGTTCTACTTCACACCAAGTCTTTTTCTTCTTCTTCGACTCAATGGAGTTTTGGGACGGTCAGTAGGCTGTCGTGTCGCCGAATCACTGATCATCCCTCTTGTTCATCGACTAAGGTGAACTCGTAAAATAGTTGAAGCATATAAATTGACATGTTCACGCACATTCTTAACAATACCACAATTCTGTTTGTTGTTATTGGTTAGAACAAATACTGATATTGCTTTCATTGGACTCTACACATAAAGTATTAATAACCTTATTTTGTTTTTAAAATCATCAAAGGACTAACAAAGAATTTGCAAGTAATCATTATCATCATAGATATAAAACAAACAAATTTTTTCCAATTTAAACAAATAACCAGTAAGTTTATTCACTGGGCATTCACTGAATAGGGAACTTACAGAGGTGTACTAGAAGAATTTTAATGGGAAAATGTGAGATAGGTGAACTCTATGCATTAGATGAGTTGAACAAAGAAGAAATAAGGTAATACTCACTGGTTTGATTCTTGAAGTTGATGAGACAGAGTTGAGCAAACGTTTAAAAACTATACATAGTTCTATTTATGCAGTACTTAAATTTACTGGGTTTTTTCTTTTCATAAAAGAATGTTTAGTAATTAGAACTATGTGATTATTTACATATATAGTCACGTTTCACAATGTCTATAAATCTAGTTTCGACAATATAATGAATAAGCAGATGAAGTTGACCTGATGAATCATATTGCTCTGTTAATATTTATATTTGAATAGTTGTTTGATTAAATATATGTATTTGTCAAGGTAAAGTAAAGAATTTAGTGAAATGTAATGACTTGATCAATAAATCGCTTCTTGGCTTAGAGATGATTTGATTTATTTTAGATTTGTTAGTTTGTAATGGTAGGAGTCAAGTTTTTTTTTCTAGAACCATTGTGTGTAACACCTAGATATGAACTATGGAAATATGTACACACAAAGAAAAATACTGTAACAATTAAATAGCCTAAATATATAGACTTCCATTAGAGAATCAAAGTGTTTATAACAAATAACTAACTAGACGCAGTAGTACACATAGTAGTAGAACAATACAGGAAACTTTAAGTCATTCATTCCACTAGTAAGACAAAAAAAGGCTTGATTAAATTAAGAATTTATTTACAAATTAAATTCATAAACTATGTACAATGATTATTAAATGTTTGACTTTATTCAGTCGATGAGATAACAATAGTAATAATAATAATAATAATAATTTGTCAATAATCTGCAGAAGATAAGAAATCTTTACGACCAAGATTAATAGCAGCTTTATTTTGCATAGCTTCCAATTTTGGACAATGTGTTATACGATGACCTAAACCACCACAATAAGCACAACCAACTTCACCGCCCATTTCAAGTTCAGCTTCAGTAGCTGATGCCAATTCAACAAGAAATTCTGGTACAGGTTGATTAGCTTCTATTAGCAAATGTTTTAAATCTAATAAAGTAGATTCATCCACTGATTTATTGATAAATGTTGTAGCTAAACCTCGTTGATGACCACGACCGGTACGACCGATACGATGGACTAAAATTAAAAAAAAGACAAAAAAATCAAATAATTAATTAAAATTTTAAAATTAACCACTAGTTTTTAGAGTGGTGGATACTACGTGCAACGTGGTTTCTACGTAATATGCAGCGGAGTGTCGTCCGGAAATTACTACCAGAAAGAAGAGGGTCAGATCTGAGTGTATGATGCGATCAAAGTATTTTGGAGACCCGAAGATATGTGAAAGAAGACAGTCAATAATCTAACTGTTTTGGCTGTAGATATTTAGTTAATAAACTGTGCCTTTTCTATTTCATCTGGTTTTGACGTCTTTATTTAGTATACTGGTACTATGAGCAATTGATAAACACGAGGCGTCAAGTTATAAATCCTAGAGATTACACCATTCTGGAAAACACTACAAACTCTTGAAATGTTAAGGTCAGAAAATTGAACTTTATGAGACGTATTCTCGCTAAGGAACTTATTCCTATAGCCGCGAGGTTATATTCAGTCAGTTATCCAGTTACAACGAAGAACTTCGTACGTACGTACGTCAGTTCAAGTTGCCATACTAAATTAGCACAGAGACGCAATTTTCAATTCAAATCCCATAATAATAGAGGTAGTATAAGTATTAGCAGTAATCGGAGAGATTAGGGTTCGAAAATATTATTCAAGAGGTAGGATCCAGTGAAACAAGCTTTAAAAGAAAAAGATGAAGGTGATGAGTAACTCCTAAGGTTAAGATTTGAAAGAAGACAATGAACGGATGCATCCGCGTCACTGTAAACGATTTTGAGCCACGTGGTTCAAGGTCTCTAAACATCGGTTACTATCATCTCGCAGACCCCAACCAGGTAGCCTACATCTGCAAACATGGCTCAGTTCACTTGTCAGTGACTTCATGGATTTGTGCCATATTTTGTTTCGGCTGCCCCTAGATTTAGTCAAAACTACTCCTACACCACAAAATATCGCTCGTTGAGGTAGTCAGTGGTTGGGCACATGTAACACTTATCCTAACCACCTTAATATACCGTGAATATAAAAGTATCAAAGAAACAGATCATTTTCACTGGTCCATTAGATTAATTATTGACGATTAGGAAATGAAGAACGAGATACCAATATATAAATCATTTGTATAGCTGAGAAACAAGTTAAACTATTCTCCTGACGAGTATCAAATCAACTACATTAATTAGAATAAAATGTGAAGCATTAGATAGTCACACATCTGAATGTTAATAATAAATTTAAACCGACTTTGTTAATGAGTTCAGGTTTATATACTTGGCTTCTAGACACATTATCATTTTATTGCAATAAGAGATACTAATAGACTGACAATAATGAAGTAGCTACACAAACAACGGTTTGAACCTGAAATCTAGCAGTTGAATATCAAATACTTTGATTATTAAACCATAGCTATTCAGCAAACTGTATTGGATGCATATTTCAGGAAAAGAAAAAAAATGTATCAGTGTACTTAATAGGTACCTACCTATTGTCCACTTTAATGTCAAGAACACTCAACAGGCAGGATAAAAAAAGCAAATATAAAGAAGGTTAGGAGTGATTAACTACTTGTTATTGTACCAGTAGTAAGGTAGTCTGACAAATGACTTATTACGTATCTTGTTGTGTAATGAAATTTCCTCAAGCTTCAACGAATCTCATTATTACCTAAAACGTATTGATCGGGTCTCTTGTAAACATTTACAAAATATAATTTCCTAGTATAAACAATGATAGTGACCTAGTTTAGACGATCTAAGAAAAATCAAATGTTTAATTATCATCAATACACATGCTAGTAATAATTACTGTTAACTTTATAAACAGTTCATCCTAAGAGCTATCACAGAAAGTTATTTTATTATTTTACTGATAAGTTTCCATATCTTACTGTTGTTACTATTAAGAACTAAATTTTAATCAGTCACTATTAGGATGCGTTTCCTGAGCAAACTGGTTTGACAATATCATTAAGTCAAAAGTACTTTACGTAAAGACAGATATTGACCTCGATCAGGGTACTTGTTAGTATGAAAATTCACTCTGAGACTTGAATCCCCTAGTGAACTTTCATTTCAAACACCTCACATATTATCAATTGAGCTAATGAATTTATTTTTACATAAAAATTAATTATCATCAATATTAAACTAACCATAATTCTCAATATCTTCAGGCATATCATAATTGATTACATGATTTATTTCTGGAAAATCTAAACCTTTACTAGCTACATCTGTAGCAACTAAAACATCACGATGATGTGCTCGAAATTCTGTCACAGCTGATACACGTTCATCTTGATCTTTGCCACCGTGAATACTTACTGCTTCAACACCTTTTAAAAGAAGATATTCATGTATAGCATCTACATCTTGTTTACGCTCAGCAAATATAATCACCTGTTTAAAATGAAATAGAACACAGATATATAGATATCAAAAACTAGTAATGGATTGTAAAAAGATAAGTAAAAACTATTTCATCCACTATTGTCATTAATCAACATGTTATCTATTGTAACGCTTGCTTAGATTATTCCCAGCTAATTCCTATTGCTTATTATTCTCTGACCACAATACACTGGACAAGTTCCAAAGAATCGAAAACACCGTTGAACAGGAAAAGATTATATTCCAAATAGCAAGGTTAAATGGAATAAGAAGCCGAAGGCGAAATAGATACAACGTCAGTTTCTTTATGGCATTTACATGAGAAGCTTCTGGACAGAAATTCACGTGATCGACTGGATTAGATTTAGCCAATCAGCATGCAGCTAACAACACGAGAATTTTCTAAGAGTCGATCAGGCGCTGGTTGGATAGGAAATTAGCCGATCAGCGCGCAGCAACGTAGTCATGCTTTAATTCCATCTATGTCCCAAACTAACATTATCACTATTGAATGAGGTTTGAGTTTATTGAGAACAATGTCATCGAGGATCTTAGCACAATTAAACAATCCAATAACAAAAAAAATCATGAATTGTGCTGAAAACTAATTTACCAAATCAAATCTGTGTAAGCCTAAGGTTTACTGACGTTGGGACTTTTTTTTATAACTTTACGAACTACCAGTGGAAGTGACCGATTATTAGACGGTTAAGACACTTTAGTATACCATATTCCCAGGATAATTTCTATTTAACGATAGATGAAACTGTTAGGATATTCATAAAAATATCCTAAAAAATTATTTTGTAAGTCTAATTCTATCATTGGACGAGACAACGTATGTTTTCATATGTTTCTAGACTCTTCACATGTCACATAACGTTTTTCTATTGGTCAATATATTGACGGTCGTCCTAACTGTATAATTTCACAAATTTCATACGTCGTTTCCGATTGGTTTATATTGACGGTCGTCCTAACTGTATAAACAGGCATTGTCTGTAAAGTCTAACGGTGTTATGTCCTAATATATTGAAGATTTGGGAAACAGTATTTGTGGTCGTACTGGAATATCTGAATTCGGTCAATCGGTAGGATTTCGAGTAGCCACATTGCGGATTATAATATTTGGTGACACATTATAATGGAGACGTAACAAAAAGTACCTTCTGTTAGGTAGGAATAGAATACAATTTTAATAACAGTGAAAAACTCAAAGCGGACACATTTGTGCGTACATACATACATACCGAACAAAAACCGATTCGGAATAAAGTGAACAAACCGTCATAGCTCCAAAAAACTATATCATATACAGAAACGAAGGGGGCTGTGATTTGCAGCGATGACAGTACAAAGACGCGATAAACATGTGAAAATATTCCCTAAAAGTTAACAAAACAGGTTCGCTCTTTCTTCGCCTCATTTTTTTGATATTTACGTTGAGTTTATTGCCTTTGCCCTAGCAGAGCATTAATCATACAGAGTTTAAATAACACTTTAATCTATACAATAAACTTCTTTGGTCAATAAGAATAATTACTAGTAACAAGCTATATATATATATATACTCCAAAATGTAACGAAATACACTTACAGGAGGTGGAGTTTTCTGTAAAGCACTAAGTAAATGAGGGATTTTCGCTTCATGTTTCACATATTCCACTTCTTGAGTAACATTCATACTAGCTGCACCAGCTCGACCAACATTAACAGTGACAGGTTTTACCAAGGCTGATTTAGCAAAATTTTGTATTTTTTTTGGCATAGTAGCAGAGAATAAAAGTGTTTGACGTTGTCCCTGAATAAAACGTTAAACGTAAAGTTAACGTAAATGTTAAAAATTTAATTCAAATTATTTTATAGAAGGAGTTACTGAAAGAAATTGATGAAGCACATAATCAACCCACATGGGTTTGCGTGGATCAAAAGGACAAATATATAAATATAAATACAATTCCTAGTTATATTTTTAGTCTGTTCACTTTCATCGCTATAGTTGGTAGGTGTGTATGGAGGAAGCATATTATCTTAGTCGGACGTTGTCAGTCAGCTAGCTACAACGTAGAACTTTGTACGTACGTACATTAGTCAAAGTTGCCATACAACATTAGCACAGAAAGACCGAATTTTCAATTCAAATCCCACACTAGTAGAGGTAGTAGTGTGGTGAACGAG